ATTGTGTGTGTAGGATTAATTACCTGTCCAAGAGAAAACTGGCAACTTGAGCGTCACTTTGAAAACCTTTTTCCTCCATCAGTGACTTCCATCGTGTAAATGCCGTGCCAATGTTGATCCGTGTTTTTTGTCGTTTCTTGTCACGCTTGCGTTTATTCTCGTCGTGTTTCCGCTTCTTAGATGACGGGGGTTCGGTGTCCGCCGCTTTTCGTTGTGATACAGAGTAGGCATGATCCTCCATTCGTCTGATGTTTGGCCACACAGTGCCAAACAGTTTGCAAAGTCACTCACGCCTGCCGCCTTTGTTCACCTTTCTTGTTACTGATGCGCAGTATACCTGCTTCTTCTTCTTCTTTGGTTTCAGGCAGACTAAACGCTTCTCAGGCATAATACTGCCATCTACTGTTCAGTACCGTCTCAGTTCATCTCTCTCAACTTGCCGTAGTTATTTTTGAGCGTCATGGGAGATCTCGCAATCGCTAGTTTGTTGCCTCTGCGCTTGCCGTAGCGCAAAGATGTCAGCCTCCATGGCTGCGAGACCCGCTCCTATGTAATTATAAATAACGAATTCTAAGGCAGCGCAAATATTATGGTTAAAAGGCTGAGCTCATAGGTGATGATAAATAACATAGTTATGTATAATATATTAAATTTCTGACTTTATATGCCTGTAATTATTACACACTGTAGCTTTAAATGCAGAGTTAATTACTTTGCTTTGTACTTGTCACAATGTAATGACAATAAAGTTGAATTCTATTCTTTAATTTTGTCATTGCTCTAATTTAAAAAAGAATACAATTAAGAAGATAAGTTCATCTAAAAATTCCCACAACTTAAATCATTTTTGGAGCTTTTAAACATAATTAATCCTGATTTGTTGTTTAGACTAAATGTGAAAATTCTAATCATGAATATAAATGTATCACAATAAATGGTACAATAAATAGACTCCTTGTCAACATAAAATTGTTTTGGATCCTTACATGATTTAGTCATAGCAAATTCAGTGTCACTTTACTTTCTCCTCAGCCTATCCTAATTTGGTCCACTCCACTCATCCCAGTCCCCACACTTCCCCTCAGTTTCTCCTGGCACTGCCCGCTAAAATTGTTCATAATTGCCATGACCGTATTTTCAGAATTAAGTTTCCAAAACTGAGAAGAACCTCTTATGTAAAAAGCTGGCGGCATAATCCTATGTGAGTGTTTAGCTCCAGGAAGGAGATGTGCACTATTGGTCAATGTCTTCCATTGACGCTGTAACAAAACTGCAGAGCTCCTTTGGTGAAAGCTTGCTGCACCTTAGGTGCACAAAGGAGTGTTATCGCAGATGCTTCATCCTGGCTGCTTTTAGGCTTTATGATCAAGATTCTAAGCAATTCATCAACTTTCATAAACCATAGTTTTTTTTCTATTTTGCAAAAGGGAAAAAAAGCTCTAGCTCCAGTGTTTCATTTCAAATTGTTGGGCAGGATTTTATTTTGTTACATGTTTTGGCTCACACATTTTTAATATTGAGGATGCCTGCATGGCCTGTTCTGGCCAAGCTCCAGCTGTCTGACAGATGGTTGCTCCAAATATAAAAAAGATCAGGATAGTGTTGCTCAGAGAATCGATTTTAAATTCCTTCTGTTAGTGTATAAACCACTGAATGGATCAGTACTTAAGTATATAACAGATTTGTTGTCAGTGTATCAACCTCCAAGACCACTCAGGTACCACTATTCCAAGCCTACTCTGTCCACCCTGAACTAGAACCAACCATGGAGGAGCAGCATTTAGTCCCTATGCTCCACTGATATGAAAAAAAAAAACTCCATAAGACTGTAAAAGTGCTGAAAACCTATTTGATTAGAGCTAAATTTGGCTTTTAAATAGGTTAACAGAGGCATTAGTAGTTTAAGGTTGTGGTCCAACAGTTTTATTTGTTATACTACCTGCTTTTATAATGTTTTAATCTTCATTTGTTTTTATTTTGCTTTTATTTATTTGCCTTGGCTTGCCATGCCTTGCCTTGCCTCTTCTAGTTCTGCATCTGACATTGTTTTTCCACCCACTGATTGGATATGGATCATCGAAAAAATGTTTGATTTTTTTATGTTTCCAATAAATAAATCACAACAAATTTAGATAAAACTGAAGTAAAATGGAATATATCCCAACTGAACATTAAAACATACTTTCAACAATTTATTCAGTACATTATTCTACCTCTGAACAAGATTCTAGATTTGTAAAAGTGGTGATTACTCAGGGACATCTAATTTAACAAATAAAGTGCACAATAAGATACTTTAGATGCAATTAAGATAGAGCAAGTCAAATACCTTGACTGCAATGATAATCTTTTATTGCATGCTACAAAGATAGCTAAGTCAAGATTACTATTCTAAAGTTAAGAGACTAGATTAATGTCTGGTACAACAAATTTTAAAAAATGCAGAAACTGCGGAAAGTTTCTATATGCTCCAGGAGATACAGTGAGACGCCCAATTAAAGGTGGAGAAAAAGCAGCTTTACCTTGTGGAAAAGGAACCTGCCAGCAGCTGCCGTGAACGTCCTGAGAAGGCAGCTGGTCATAAATACTGGACTGACCTGCAGCAGAAGAACTGCGACAAGACTGAATAGCAACAACTGAGGTCTTAGTTTCTATAGTACGGCACATATGAAACACTGAATGGCTCCATATAAACCAATACTGGCTAAAAAAATGTAAAAAAGCACAAGAAAGAAGTGTTTTTGTTGAACAACCAATAAGATTCTCTACTTTGGAGCAACAAACTGAACATTTGACAGGCTGGTGGAGGAGAAATAATGAAAAATAAACTGAAAATGAATGGAGCTAGAAGAATGATGCTGAGGTAAACTGGATACTAAAAGTATCAGGAAATTGTGACATGCTTTTCTAGAGGAAGCCTAAGCTTTGGCATCATTGAATAGTGGTGATAAGCGTATCTCAAATCTTGGAAGAGAGCAGAGTTCCCATCGTAGTCAGATGACTTCTACTTTTCAGAAGTAGACGCTTGTCCGCAGATGTCAGCAGATCTACACTGGCTGCTGCCATAAAGTCTGTCAGAAAATGCAAAAGCCCTCTGGAGGGAATCCAGGAGACTGTGACTGCAGTGTCACTGCTCAACTTCTCTTCTTCCATCTTGTTTATTGTGTGAGTTAAACAGTTTGTATAAGTGTTGTTTAATATGTCCAACACCACCTAATGGGGGCAACATTATCTCCAGAACATCAAAACTGTTTCTTGGTGTGGCTTTCATCAGTTTATGTAAAGCAGCTGTTTACTGATTTTCTCTTAAATGTATTTTTGGCTGCCTTGCAACTAGTTTTAAAGAACTTTAGTACCCTGCTTATGAAGAGCAATCTAGACTGCCCATCATGTAATACTTGCTTGAAGTTGCTTTGCAAAAGTGTTAAAAAAAAAAAAAGTAAAGAAAAGTTTGCCACACCTTTCATTTTCCTGAGTCACCACAGGCTTGTTGGGATTTGTCTTTTTTTGGCTTTGTACATCTAAGTAGTGAAATTTTAACTTTTATCTTTGCAAATTAGCTTAACCTCAGTCAAATTGGCTGAATTTTGGGTTTTGCGGGATCGCCGCATTTTACAGTGAGGATGGTATGTTCAGACTAATGTTTAGATTATAAATATAAAGTATGTTTCAGTCATGGCAGCTATATTAATGAGATCTCCCATAGATTTCCAACATTCTGGTACGTTTTTGCAGAGGAGTTTATTTTTATGTGAGGCAGGAAGTAAGAGAAGGTTCAGCACCACCACCTGATGTAAACTGACAGGTGTGTTACTTTGACTGATACTTATTTTTCAGTACACTTCTCTTTGAACTTGTTCCTTTTGAGCTGTTTAAGGCATAAATTAGCTGTTTTATCAAGTTATAGCTTTCCTTCCATCTTATTGACAGCTGTTTGATATTGATATAAATATAAACTTTTAGCTACCTGATTTATTCCAAGTATGTTTAAACAGGAGACAATGTAAAATATACAAACATAAGCTGTACTGGCCTCGTAGAACCCAGCTCTACTATCCAGGAGTTAAACACCTCCACAAAATAAGTCACCGACGCCAGGATGGGTTTAGACTGTTCTTTATATGGCAGGTGTGAAACTGTAATGAAACAATACAGTATACATGAGTGGAAATGAAAAGAAATACAGCAACCATGCTTTAAATGCTAATACTAACCACATGTATCAACATGAATAACAGAACTAGCTTAAAAACGGCTCCCTTTTATCTTCAAAAACGTGCTTTTAAACAATCTTATTAATCAGAATCCTTAACTTAATCCTTAATCACAAATGTATTGCATACTCACAGGGAATGCCTTTCATGAACTCAAAAATCACAGAAACACGTCAGCCATCAGAGAATTCTCTGCTCTTCTGCTTGCTACTGCACATAACTGATAGAAGTGATGTCATATCCTGTTCAAACCGCAAAGTCAGCCTTCAAAATAAAGCGCATGACACATGTCAGAACACTCCCCGCCTGGTATCCTGGGAATACCACAAACTCTAACTTAAACATCACTAGATCACAAAAGAACCATCTCCGAAATTGGTCTAAGATAACACTTAACAGTCCCTTGAGAGGCAACTTTGACCTCTGCCTTCCTTATGATCCCATCTTCACTAGGGAAAGTTTTAACAATGACACCCATTGGCCACTCATTTCTTCTTGTCTGTCTGTCCTTGAGGAGTACAACATCCCCTTGTTTGATATCCATCTTCTTGTGGTGCCACTTTTGACGAGTTTGCAGTGTGCTGAGATACTCTTTGCGCCACCTGCTCCAGAATGTGTCTGCAAGAAACTGAACACGCTTCCAATGGCTTTTGAGCATTTCTTTGGGGTCGACATTGTTACAGATGGGGGGTACAGATTGTGTTTTTTGAGTCAACAACATTGCAGGTGAGAGAATGTGGGGATGCTCTGGGTCTGATGAGGCTGGCACCAAAGGACGTGCATTTATTATGGCTGTGACTTCTGCAAGAAAAGTGGTTAAGATTTCATGGCTGAGTCGAACACGACCAGCTTGCAGCAGCATGTTATCCAATATGCGCCGTGCCAACCCAATCATCCTTTCCCATACTCCCCCCATGTGTGAAGAATGAGGAGGGTTGAAGATCCAGGTACACTTCTGATCCTGCAGAAACCTTTGTACTTTGACCGTTTCTTGTGTTTTTGTGGACATCTCCTTGTAGGTTCCGATGAAGTTTGTGCCACAATCTGAGCGCAGCTGTTTTGCAGGACCACGCAGAGCAAAGAAGCGCCTCAATGCATTGATGAAACTTGATGAGCTCATCTCCTCCACAACTTCAATGTGGACTGCCCTTGTGCACAAACATGTGAATAGTACTGCCCAGCGTTTACTGTTTGCTTGTCCTCCTCTTGTACGTCTTGAAGTGACCTCCCATGGGCCAAACATGTCCATACCCACATATGAAAATGGAGGAGCCACTTGGAGTCTGTCCAGAGGTAACTCGCTCATAAGTTGCTCTTCCATCTTCCCTCTCAGTTTTTTACAAGTCACACATTTGCTTATGACTTTTCCAATGCATCCCTTCACTCCTACAATCCACAGGCCATTTTCTCGGACCGCACCCTCTGTAAAATGCCTTCCCTGATGGTTTACCTTTTCATGGTAGTGTTCCACAATCAGGGTTGTGATATAGTTACTTCCTGGTAGAATTATGGGATTTGTTTCTTTTACTCCCAGCCCTGCACGACTAATGCGACCACCAACTCTCAACAACTTGTCTTCTCCAATGAAGGGGTTAAGCTTAGTGAGTGGGCTGTTTGTAGGAAGGTTCTGCCTTGTATTGATGCATCGCATTTCCTCTGCATATGCTTCGGACTGCACATTTCTGATGATTAGAGTCTCTGCTTGTTCTAACAGTTCTGGGGTGATGGCTGTTCTACACATGTGCCACCCTGTGCAGTTTGGGTCTGTTTTTGTCTGAGAGTAGCATTGTGCAACATGGATGAGGCGTGACATGGTTTTATTTAATGAGCGCCAAGTGGAAAACCGCTTCCAACGCATTGTGCCAAGGGTGCCCTTAGAAACGTTAGTGCAAAGTATCTTTACCTCTGGGCGTACTTCTACATCGTTGTCTGGATCGAGAAGTTCAAATCCATGTTGCTCTGGCTGGTTATCCGAATGCTGAAGGAAGGCTGGACCTCTGAACCACGATGTGTTCAGCAACTCTGCAGCAGGGACAGATCGTGAGCCGTGATCAGCAGGGTTCTGGTCTGTAGTAACGAAATGCCATTGCTCTGGAGTAGTTGATTCTCTAATGCGGCACACACGGTTGTTCACATACACATAAAAGCGCCTGGACTGGTTATGAATATAACCCAGGACCACTTTGCTGTCTGTATAGAAACTAGTATTGTCAATGGGATGATCAATCTCTTCCTTTATGATCTCTGCCATTTCAACCGCCATTACTGCGGCACAAAGTTCAAGTCTAGGAACTGTGAGCTCTGGCCGTGGAGCAAGTCGTGCCTTACCTAGGATGAAACCAACCTCTGTTGTCCCCTCATACGTGACTCTTAAGAAATGAGACTCACATATTCCCCTTCATGGATGCGTCTGAAAAAGATAAAAAGCTCCAACTTTTTCGCTTGGACAGGGGATTTTTTAGTGAAATGTGCGGGGGAAAAATGAAGTTCGAAAGGGGCCACTGAAAGGGACATTTCCACCTTTACCTTTGGGGCCTTTTTAGGTCCTCAGGAAAAAGGTGGCAAAACCCAAAACTTCTTCGGTTTCTTAAGGGAAATTTAAATTTCTCTGAGAAAAAGCCCGTCCCCTTTAAAAAATAAATTGATTTGGGGACAAAATAAAAAACCTTTTTTTGGGGTCAAAAAACGCTGTTTCCCCAGAAAAGAAATTAAAAGGAACCTCCCCCCCTTTTTCGTTGTGAAAAAGGCCTTTTAATCGTTGGGGTGTGGGGTTTTTGGAATTTTAAAAAAAAAATAATGGGGTCCTAAAAATAAAATTTATTCCCCATTTTAAACCCTCCACCTGCGGGAAAATGGGGGGTCAATCCCAAAAACCGGAAAAAGACCTAAAAAAAAAAATTGGCCCCGTTCTTTTGAAACCCCCTTTTAATTTTTATTAAAAAATTCACCTCAACGGGTTTGATGTTTAAAATTTTAAAAAGGTGGGAGGGGATTTTCCACACCTGTTTGTTTTTTTTTAAAAGCGGTCAAATTTGGGAATTTTCATCACAGTTCAGGAAATTAGTTTTTTAAAGACGCCCAAAACTTTTTAAAAGCCCCACGCCAAATTAAGTTCGGAAAAGCCCTCCCCCAAAAATTTGGGGTTTCCCCTTGTTTTGAGATGGCTTTTTTTCCAAAAATAGTAGTTTTACTCAGGTAGGGCCTGGTTGCCAAAAACTTTGGAAAAACACCATTTTTATAGTCCCTTCTTTTTTTTTGTTGGGGTTCTTTGCTTTACAAAATCAAATCCAGTCCCAATCCCTTGCGGGTTTCACGTAAAAGGAAAAACAATTTTAAAACTTTTGTTTTTTTGGATTTTTCCTCCCAAAGGTGACTGGAAAAATTTTTTGGGATTTTTGAATTGGGCATTTTACCCCTTTTTAAAAAGGTTGTTTAGATTTTGGGTTTTTTGGAAAATTTTTAAAAATGGTTTTAAGGGGCCCGGTTTTTTTCAAATTGGAAAACGGGAAGGTAAAAACCCAAATTTTTTTTTTTGGGGGGGGGAAATTGGTTTTTGTGGTTGGGGTAAAACCTCAAATAAGGCAAGTTACCGGGGAAAATCCTTGTTCTTCTTGGTTTCATTTTACTGGGGGGGGGCCAAGCTTGGAAGGTATTTTTCCTTTAAAATTTTTGGGGAAAAAAGGGTTTCTTCAGATGGGGGGCTTTTCCATTCAGGGGGTTTTTGGGTTTAAAAAGAAGTTTGGGTTTTCCAGGACGGGAACGTTTGGGTTTTTGGTATTGGGTTGTTGGAGGGGGGGGCGAGTGGGTGTTTTTGGGGAATTTTGGGGGGGGGAGGGGGGGAAAAAAGGGTTGCCCCTTTTTGGGGTTTTTGGGGAATGGGAAAGGGGGGGGGAAGCTTTGGGGGGGGTTTAAAAAGTCCTGTTTAAAAAACCCAAACATCTTTATTATTTTAAGAAAAAAGGGGGGATCTTCCAAGGGGGAAAAAGGGGGGCAACCGGGGTTATCTTTTGGGGGGTTTGACAAAAAATTTTTTAAGGGAATTTAATGGGGGGGGGGGTGGGGGGTGGTTTAAGTTGGGGGTAAGGGGGGGGGTTGGGGGGGATTTAGGGTAAAGGGGGGGGGTTTGGATTTTTTTTTTTTTAAAGGGTTGGGGAAAAGGGGTTGGGGGGGGTTTTTATTTTGTAAATGGGGGGGGGGGTTTGGGGGGAGAAAATGGATTTGGGGGGGAAGGGGTTTGGGGGGGTTAATTGGGGGGGGGGGGATAAATTAAAAGGATTTAAAAAAAAAGAATAAGTCCATCTCTGAGGTATGGTGCTCAGGGGCCCCCATTGTTTAAACGGCCATTTTATTACTTTCAAATGTCCCTTCTGAGCAGTAACAAAATGTCAGCGCTGTCGTCTAAAGGTGGTATTTTGTGAACCAAACCTTTGAGGTGGCTGTGAGCGCTAGCGGCTGATGGTGTAGGAATTTCTTCTCTTTTGTTGGGTATCATATTGCACTCGATTAGCATGGGCAAGGGCATAGCAAGAGAGCCATCAATGGACTCAATCATGTAACCAAGGGCTCTTCTGCCAGAAGTTAAACCTATACCACTGCATGTCTGAAGGGTATATGGTGCTGCATTACCATTGACCTCAAACATGTCAAAAAACTCAGAGCGCGCAAGCGATACATTACTCTGGTCATCCAGCATAGCATACATTCTCCGGCGCTTGCTGGGGTCATTGGCAGGGTAGACATCAACCAGACATATCTTCGAACATGATTTCCCAGAGAAACCTTCTCCACAGATTTCAGTACAGCTTGAAACAACGGCTGCCTCTTGTCCTTCTTGTTTCTCCCCGCCATGCTCTGCTGGTCTGACGGCTTTGGAGAAGGTAGGATCGACTTGGTGCATTGCTGTTGGATGCTTATCACTGCTACATTCTGAACATTTGACTTCAGCTTTACAATCACGAGCCATGTGCCTGTTAGATGCACAGCACCTGAAACAAATTCTGTGTTGTTTTAATATCGTTTTTCTTTCCTGTAGGGATTTTTCTCTGAAACCTCTGCACTGTTGTAAGGCATGTGGCTTGTTATGCACTGGACAATATTTATCTGGTCCTTCAGTGGGTGGGTCTGAAACATAAGTCTTGTGCACTGAAACTGCTCTGCGATTATTGTTAAAGGTCTCCCCATACCTGTCTTTTTTAACTGTGAGGGTGGATGGAGACTGTAGATTAAAACTTGGGTCGTTACGTGCCCTTGCCTGAGTCTGTATGAAGTGTAGAAAGAAGGTGAATGGAGGAAAGGTCACATGGTGCTGCTGCTTATAGGAAGAGCCTTCCATCATCCACTTGTCCTGTAGGCCTAACGGCAGCTTTTCCACAATAGGAGCAATGCCCCTTGCTGTATCAAGATAGGAGAGTCCTTGCAAGTATCCCTCTTGTTTTGCAGATTCTATCTCCTGCAACAAATCACTGAGTTCTCTTAATTTTTTATTTTCTCTAGGCCCTATCTTGGAAAACTGATCAAGCTTGGCAAAAAGAGCCCCCTCTATGGCCTCTGGTGACCCATAGATCTCTTCTAGCCTCTCCCAGATAAGATTTAATGCAACAACTGGTTTGTTAATGTTTACAGCTTTAATGCGTTGCGCATGTTTGGTTGACTCTGGCCCAAGTGATTTTACCAGCAGGTCAATTTCTTCGCAAGCCCTAAGTTCAAGTGACTCAATAGAATTGATGAAAGAAGATTTCCAGGACAAATAGTTTTCAGCACTATCATCAAACTTGGTGAGCTCTGATGTTAACAACTGACTCCTCACTAAGTACTTTGCAAGCTAATTTGTTTCACTGTAATTGTTCTGAGCAGGTGAGTAGTACCGAGGACGTCCAGCAGGGGGGGGGCATATATACAGGAATTTCATCACCTCTGTCCTGTTTATACTGTGGCAGATCAATCTGTCTTTCAGTTGAATTGTTTTGGACTTGGGCTTTATAGAAATGGTGGGTTTTAGGTGTCATGTCAGATCTTTTAGCTTGGTGTAAAGTTTTGCTATTCTCCAGTGTAACATCCTTTGGTATAACTGTTTCGACTTCCACTTGATGCTTTTTTACATATTCTGCAGTTCGCTCATGGAAGTTTTCCATTTGTTGTGGTAGGAACAGGTTTTCGTCACTTGTGTCTAAACCAGCAGCAGCAGACTCTAAAACTGCTGCTTCAGCAGCAGCAGCTTCAGCCTCGCTTTCTTTTGCTAAAACATCAAGTCTTGCATCCAATTTGGCTTTTTCTACTTTAATTTCAACTTCTCTCTTTGCAAATTCAGCTCTTTTTTGAGCTGCTTCGGCTTTTGCTCGTGCAGCTGCAGCTGCTAAGATGACACTTGAGGCAGACGATCGGCTGGATCTCTTTGAGGCTGTTGATCTGACTTCATACCTTTCATTCTCCATCTTGTGCTGAAGTGACGTGCTGACGGCGTAGGGGTGAGGAGCTCGACACAGGGTCTCCCTTTTCACTGTACTGGCCTCGTAGAACCCAGCTCTACTATCCAGGAGTTAAACACCTCCACAAAATAAGTCACCGACGCCAGGATGGGTTTAGACTGTTCTTTATATGGCAGGTGTGAAACTGTAATGAAACAATACAGTATACATGAGTGGAAATGAAAAGAAATACAGCAACCATGCTTTAAATGCTAATACTAACCACATGTATCAACATGAATAACAGAACTAGCTTAAAAACGGCTCCCTTTTATCTTCAAAAACGTGCTTTTAAACAATCTTATTAATCAGAATCCTTAACTTAATCCTTAATCACAAATGTATTGCATACTCACAGGGAATGCCTTTCATGAACTCAAAAATCACAGAAACACGTCAGCCATCAGAGAATTCTCTGCTCTTCTGCTTGCTACTGCACATAACTGATAGAAGTGATGTCATATCCTGTTCAAACCGCAAAGTCAGCCTTCAAAATAAAGCGCATGACACATGTCAGAACATAAGCAATGCAACAGTTAAGATAGCAAGAGGTCAAAAGGTAGTTTAAAGATAAAGACCCTGCCTGTATTCCAGAGAGAAATCCCTGATTCCCCCCCCCCCACCACCACCACCACCACCACCAAGAGTCACAAGTTGCAGGAAACATGTTGCCATGCGACCCGAAAATCAAGTAAACACCATGAGTAATTAGGTTTTGACTCAGTGTGACATAAAGTATGTGCATGTATCACAAAGGGTGTCAGGGGACTGGAGTCCTTAATATAACTCGAATTAGAGAAGCAATGCTAATGGGTTCTATGGCAAATATAGTTCCTCTTGGAGCTCTGCAGAAACATGCTCAAACACTCACGCCCACTCTGGGTTTAGAGTGGAGACAGCAGAGGTTTTGAAGTCTGAACACCATTTGTATTTAAGCATGTGAGGACTGTGCAAAAAAACAGCCACAGATAGAAGCTGAAATTACACTACACATCCACACTTGCACTGCCACCTTGTGAAAGGAAGCAGCACAGAAATGCAACTATTAAGAGCCACACGCCTGCAAAAGCAACTTGGATTAATTGACTTCTAGCATCAAAATTAGCAAGCACTTCACAATAGCTGAAGAGATATGATCTAAACCCTGAAAGACATTTATTTACATCTTAATCAGAATCTGTTATGGTTTTGGTTCTGTTCAAGTTTTATCTTTGAGTTTTCATTGGTCTTATTTCCATTCTTCTGTTCTAGTTATTTTTGATTGTATTTGAGTTCTTAGATATTTCTGGTTTGCCCTCATGCCCCCTTATGTCTCCTTTTCCCTAGCTCCCTTCTTGCCTCTGTTCACATCTTGTTTCTCTCTCCCATATAGTCTCCTCCTGTTCAGTCACTCTTTGCTGGTTTGTTGTCATTTTTTGCCCCCTTCTTGGAATTATTCCTGTTTCTCAGTTTTTGTGGATTTATGTTTTGGAATTTTGCTTCTGTTGAACTTTTGGTTAATTAAATCTTCAGTAAACCACTTCAGATTTTGTGTCTGCATTTGGTTACTGCCACTTGACAGAATCAGATTTATTGCCAAGCAGGTTTGCACTTACAAGAAATTTGACTTGGTGTTGATGGTGCAGGCAAATTCAATATATATATATATATATATATATATATATATATATATATATATATATATATATATATATATATAGCTATATTGTATATATAGCTATATACATATAAAACTTGCATATACTATACACAATATATAATATATAGCCGTATACTATATACACAGTAGACTATGCACTAATCTAACGCAGAAAGTCTGGAGATGCTACGTTGGTGTAGCTTCTAAGTACTGAACGGGGAGGAAGAAAGGCAGTATCTTCTTTAATAATCTTTGACCTGTATAGTGCACTCTGTGGAGGATTTTTATATTGTATTAGCTGTAAATTTGGGTTTCTAGTCATTTTGAAAGTTCTTAGACATATCTGAGCCAAGATGTTTTGTTCAAAGCTGACTGATAAATCCTCCTCCCATTTCATACTAGGAAGAGAAAAGGATCATCTAGTTTTGTCAGTGTCCTGTATAATATAGACAGTAGTTTGGGGGGTTTAACTCTACGAACTCTAATATTTTAGTTGGAATTTTCAAACCACCATTAAAATGCTTAAATTTGTTTCTAATTATAGATTTAATTTGTTCATATTCTAATAATTTATTTTTGTTAATGCCATTGTGCATATTTTAGATATTCAATACCTTTTTTCTTTTCTTTTATCATATTGTTATTTAGTAGGATGTCAGGATTATTCCAGATGGATGTAGACTGCATGCGATAAGTGATGACTTTGTAATTTTAAGAAATTTCCACCATGCTGTCAGGGAAGAGCTGATGTTAATATTTTTAAAACATGAATACCGTTTGACATTTGAGCTAATAATCTTTTTCTATTCTGAAAATGTCATGAAGCAGTGTTTGCTTGGAGGACCCAAAGAGGTGAATTAAAGTGGGTTTATTTAAGTTCACAGATCCAAGGGCAGGAATCAGAGTCCAACAGAAAACTACTAACGCACCTGAACCAAGGAGACATCAGGGGTAACCAAAACTAGAAGCCAGGGAGAGACGAGGAGCACAGACGGGATGTTAGATGAGGATCCAGCAAACAGGAACTGAAGAGGGAGGGCTTTTAAAGGGGACAGAGACAAAGAGAGAGCTGACGAGGGAATTGAAAACAGGTGCAGGCAGGACAGAAAAACAGAGCAAGGGAGGACACAAGAGGGCAGCAGAGGACAACAAATAGATAACCAATACCAGGAAGATCAAAGTGCTTCGCAGAAAGATAAAAACATTGTAAAAAACAAAAATCATAATCATAAAACATAGATTTATGTGTATGTGTGCACAACAGCATCAAGCAACGATGATTTTCTCATTTTCAGGGGGGCTTAACACTTTTAAAATCAAGATAAATTCATCACTTTGACGCACACTCGCTGTTTCATAGCATAAGTAGATTACTGTAACTTATGATAAAAAAAATAGACACATCACATTGCATAGTCATTATGAAGTCAGTGAAGTCTATAAATCATGTAATATAACATATTATAAAAATACGTTACAGCAAAATTAATGTGTTAATGGAGCATAGTAATACAGATCTGTCAAAAGTGCTAAATTGAGGATGTGCATCTAATATACATGCATTGATGAAATTGTTGTGGTAATTACATATTACATATAATTTCAAGATTTCACATTAAGACTGAATTACTGCTAATGCTATAGTATTTTCCTTTTTGCAAATTGTGCATGCATGTATGGAGGACAAGCTCTGCCACATCTAAAAATAAATACAGAAATAAATAAATGCTCAATAAATAAATAAGCATTCAATTAATTACCAACACACCCACAGACACAGCCCTTCCTCATTTGCATAATGAGGCAGAAATGTAAATATGACAGGCAGAAATAAATAGCTTTGAAGAAATAAATAGGGTAAAAAAAAGACAAAGGAATAATAATAAAGACAAAAATATTAGAACATGCACATAAATAATACTTAAAAATAAGTAATAAATAAATAAAATTGAAGATTATAACGGACAATAGATAAATAAGGTAATTATTACAAAGGCTAATTAAAAGAGATATATACATTTATGTCTCACTGTTTAATTTAATTTCTACCTACATTTATTTGTTTATTGTATTTTGGGGGGGCAATTAATTGAATGCGTATTTATTTATCGAGCATTTATTTATTTTTAAATATGGCAGAGTGGGTCCTCCATATGCATTATGCCATCTACTTTTATGCTGTGTCTGTGCATTAGCCTTTAAAAATGTTTGAGTTGCCTTTTTTTCCACTTTTTTCGGCCTATCAGCGATCCAGTGAATAAATAGAGAGCAACCGTAGGAGCAGTACTAGTAGTACACCACAGGGTGGCGCTGTTTACCAACTTGTCACAAATCAAACAAAGGAAACGTGTTTGTGCAAATATATTGGTCAGACTATAAAAAGATGTTTAAGAAGGCTGGGGAATAAGTTACTGTATCTAATCATTCACCATGTTTTGTCACCACTCCTTCCTTTTTTAAGCATAATTTAAACATTTCCTTAAATCTGTCCCTGGCCATAGCTGCTTTATAACAGCATTTTATTTATGTAAATGCTCCGTAAAGGTGCAGTCTTATCTTTTTGATTATGTTTCTCATATCATGCTTTAGTTTTGCCTTTGCTGCTGGGACATCTGAATGTCTCCTCTGTTCAATACTTAAATTAAGTACATGACAGGTTGTTTATTTATCACCTGATTATTTGGATTAAGCAGGATTTAATTTGTCTTCTAAACACATCCGTTTATTTATATTGTTTAGTTATTTATTTCCCTTTGTTTTTACTCTTTCTAGGTAGGCCTACATGTTTTTATTATTCTAATTTGGCACCATATGTGCCAAACATACAGCATATTTCACTCTATTAATAACGATGTGAAACGCTAAGCATACCCTGTCAATAACTTGGAAGAGGTCATTTCCTGTATAACTTTCTGCTGTTGAAAGTTTTGGCTCAAACATATTTTTTATTTAGGATGCCTGCATGACCCAGTTCTGGCCAAGTTCCAGCTGTCTGACAGATGGAAGCTCCAATCAGGATAGTTTACTGCACAGAATGGTTTATGGGAAATCAAATGAGCGTGAGGGGGCCCACCTACACATACCAATTATCACCATTCTGCCTCCGTGCCCAATAGATGGTATGAGGTGCTTGTGATCAGAAAGATCAGGAAAATAATTTTCTTCAAAATAGAATAATAAACTGATTAGTAATGTTTTACCTCCCCTACCAATGATCACCACTATGACATTATCTTTAATGGTTTTGTGTAAATATTGTTCTATACTTTAGACTAATTCATTATCATAACTATTGCTTTATAGATAATCCAATTATTATATTTTATTGATTGATTAAACCGATACTGTGTCTTTCTCATACAGCTTTTCTAGTGTTCATCTTCTTAAATAAATCAGTTTTAAATAAACAGTCTGGATTTCTTTGTACAGCTGAGGTTGAATTTAAAAAATTTGAATAAATGGAATAACTGCACAGTTTTATATATATATATATATATATATATATATATATATATATATATATATATATATATAAGTATGTAATTTAATATTGCTCTGAAGTGCTACAGAGTGTTGGTTAAGTGCAGCAAAACAATGCATCATAAAAGAGTAAAAACACAATAAAAATCGAAAAGAAATAATCATACATATGAGCTAATATTGAAGAAAAGTTATTTCACATAATATTGAAAAAAATTGTTGGGGGGAAAAAAAATAAGGGTAAAAAAAATAAGGGTAGATAAACTGTGATGTCAGTCCATACCTGTGACCTTACGAGAATGTTAAAATTTGACTCCATGTTAGTAAGGCATAGGCACACATTCAAAGAATTACAACAATTCAAACAAGTTAGGATACAGGCTTTAAAGT